TGAAATCGAAGAAATCGTTCGTGATAATGACAGCTGTTTGGCTCTGCTGCTCCATCTGAAAGCATGTGAAAATACCACATTTAATAACATATTTTTACTCCAAACTCACTTCATAACGTCAGTCGAGTGTTTGAAATAAATCCTTCTGTGAGATGATGTGGCTTCTTACACAGAAGAAGGCACGCAACATATTTCATAGTATTTAAGCAGTGATAAAGGCATTACATTATAAATATACTTTATTTTAATGAAAATTATAATAATAAGAACTCAGATAAACCGTATATTGCCGTAGTCGTGTGTTTATTAGTCACGTTGAATCAATGAAAGCAGTTGAATCTTCTGTTTATTCAGCTGCAGCGATAGGCATTTTCTGGGTTTCTTCTGCGAGGCGTATTTGGAGTTTCAGCGCGAGAGCGCCCTCTGGCCTTTGGATGGAGATTTACTGCTGATCACAGAACCGTGCTTCACTGAAAGATAGACAATCGCAGCTTCTGTCGAATCGCGATCTCGATTCAATTTCGATTTATCATGCAGCCCTAATTGACAGTCATTATACACCACCACCAAATAAGAGTCTAGCATACAGTGTATCTACTGTACTTTGAGCCCTTTAACATTATTAGATATTAAAAGCAAAGATAAATAAAAAAACTGTTATCAGTTATAGCACATTTGGACTGGAGTGAGTTGAGCAAATCAGCGAGTTGTTATTGTCATTCAAAGATCTCAGAATCCAACACAGTCCACAACAACCCCCCCCCAAAAAAAAAACAACACACCATCCTCAGCCTTTCCTCTACAGCAGCAATGACTTTCTGATGAAGATCATTCGGAGAAACACCACTGAGTGTGTTCAGCATCACGTGACTTTCACAAAGCAAGATCTGGATGAAATGCTGCATTACAGCACTTCTCTTTCTCCATCCACAAACCCAATGTTTTGTACACATACACACCCTGATCCTTTTCAGTGCTTCCCAAAACAAGACTCACATTATGAAGAGGAGCGTTCAGGGTATTTGTAACACTTGTGACCACAGTAAAAAGATAAAGAGACTCGAGCTAATTGCATCAAGCGGTGAACTGTAATGCCGATATGCAAAGACAGGTTATTAATGCTAACTGTTACTACAAATTTAGCATTCTGTCTGTTATCGTACATATTGTGCATGGTGTAATACGTGTATATTTAATGTGGATGTGTATATATTTTTGATTTGTTTTGCAATTGTAAGTAAATGTATTCCCTTGAAACAAATGTTACAGTTCTAATAGTGGAATATTGCACAAAGAATGAAGGATAATGCCTCAGTAAATGTAAAGGTGTGTTGTCTTCTGGACCAAAGCTGTTTAAACTCAGACATTATACTTACTCAGTGCATAGAGCGAGAGTGTGATTCCAGCTAAGCAAAAGCCCTCAAAGAAGCGCAGGGTGCTGAACATTGGGACGTTGACGGAGAAGGCCACCATAATGCCGAAAACTAACATAAAGATGACGGACAGGATCAGGACCGGGTGCCTTCCAAACCTGAGTGTTAGAAAAGACAAAACAAGGCAGATTTACAAAATGGTTTATACCAGTGGTTTTTAATTTATATTATATGTGTCATATTAAATTATGACATCAAGTGAGTCAACACAGTAGCTTTGCTTATTGTACAAAAGTCCTTAAAGTGATAGGTCACCCCCAAAAAAAAAAGTTTTTGTAAAGCTTCTTTTTCAGATCACTAAAAGAAAAAATTGCAAACAAGTTCAGAACGATCCCTTTAAAAAATGCTACAACTGAAATGCATTAACATTCTCATGAACTGCATAGGCTCAATAACATTATAAACATGACATATGCTGAATAGGAAAACTGACTTGATGATTTCATGCTCTTGGCAGCAAATAACTCACGACACAAAACACATTGTGCTCGGCACAAACAATAGGACTCGTTCAGTAATGGTTTATTTGTATTCATACGCTTAAGAGAACTTCTCACTAAACAATTCTGTGACCGAGGTTAATCATTTGCAGAAAACACACCCAAAACATTTCCATATAAGGGCTTTCCGCACAACCTTTCCTTTACAGCCATTCATCATTCACATGACGCTACATATTTAAATTCTAGTTCTGTGTAAAAGGTATAAAATGAGTGACATGATTGGTTTTGATTCAGAAACGTGGGAAAGTAAGGCATTTTTAGACACTCACCTATCTGCCAAAACTCCCAACACCAAGTATCCAAAGATGGAGCCCACCAACAGGGAGAATTTGGCAATATGAACCACCCAGGCAGAGTCACCCACTAGGTTCCACTGTTGGGACAGAAAGATGGGATAGAAAGGCAGATGACTTATTATTAATATATTGCATATTTCAATCTTTTCTGTCACCATATGAAAGAACAGAATTATTAAATGTGCCATTTGGTGGCACACATTAATTAGTTTTTCTAAACCAGGATTTCCCAATCCGTTCCTGGAGTCTCTCCAGCACTGCTCATTTTGGACGTCACCCTTATTTAGCATACAGCAGAAGTGTACTCCATGACCTGAGCTGTATGTGTCCAATAAGGGAAACATCCAAACTCTGCAGTGCTGAGAACAGAACGGCTCGAAAACCCCCGTTTTAAACGAACAACAGTGATTATGAGGTTTGAGATTTTATACGGTCCTTACGGCTGCAGCATCACACAAAAGGGAAATTTCACAGGTGTATTTGGCATCTATTATGAACTCAACAGGAAGTGCTTGATAATGAGGGGTTTCCACGATAAGGTGAGCATTTGGCTGGGCATGTGATTTCAGCAAAGCGGTTCCGATTATTTTCATTTTCACAGAAAAATGTGAGATTTGTCCATATAGAATTTGCTATCATGATGCTAGGGTGTTGTAGGTGCACTCTCAGAAATAAAGGTACAAAAGCTGTCACTGGGGCAGCACCTTTTCACTTTAGGAACTAATACTGTATGTATCTTTTTAATGTGCACCTTGGGAGTAAATAAGGTACAAAAGTGTACATGTTTAAAGGATACTGACCGCTTTTGTACCTTTTTTTCTGAGAGTTTTTGTTTATGGAACAGCTGAACCTTTAGACAAAATATTGGGAAAATCTGCACATGTGTTTTATGTTTTCTATCATATTTGATACGTTAGGAGTTTGTGGCCTATATACTGAGAATACGGAGCTCACATCTGAGGAGGAAAAACAAACACAAAAACACTTTTATTCAGAGGCCCAAATTTGGTGCAGATGTTATTTATTTGGTCAAAAAGATGAAAATCTGATAGCTTGTAATGTAAATTAATGAGCATTTATAGCAGACTACTTGCATATAAATTATATAAGTATAAGTCGTCACTCTATTATTATGCTTTATTAAGTTGTAAAAAAAAAAGATCAAAGCTTTATAGTTTCAAAACATATAATGCAATGCGATGCAGTGATAACTAAGAGATGGACAAATAAACATTCCTCAAAAGCCTGATTATCATATTTGAGACTCATCTGAACATGATATTTAAAAAAAATGATGTATAATCAAGTAAGGTTTATTCAGTCCAGTAAGTGTTCACATAAATGCTCATAAAGCAGTTAAAAAAAAAATCATGCTTTACACCATTTCCCCTTTTTCTATCTGAAAACCACTGGCTATCAAAACTCTATCAAACCCTGAAAAATTAGCACTTTTTTAAGCTGTAAAAATGTGCTATCACAGCACAAAAAAAAAAACACTATTATGTAATCTATTATGCAGAACAAACACTTCCAGAGCAGGACAAAGAAATAAAACAGAAAAAACTTAGGCGGAAAGAACTTGCATTTCATTTTCTAAAGGAACAAAATACAACCTGCTAGTTGAATTGAGTTATATTGTATTCTAATCAGGGTTTCTAAGGTTTCCTGGGTTTCCCCTGCTGTACAGACACTGACTGAAACTGCCACAGGATCAGTTTCCTCTATTGTGTGATGATTGAGCCGCACCCGTCACATGCTTCAGTATCACTCACGCTCTCAGATCCATGTCAGCTGCCAACCTTACCCACAAACTAGTCACCCTGAAACGCTTTTTCACCATTATTTAATCAGGCAAGTCAATCTAAGTTTCTTTAACAACATTCGGACAAAAACCTAACCTGGCAAACACACTGCTTACATAAGCATATTTCAGCTCATTATCACTGATAAATATTTTGTACGGACTGAAAGAGAAAAAAATATTTATGGACTGCATTAAGACAGAAATCTAATTTGAAAACACTGTGATTTAATATCTTTGATTTAAAACAAAAATTTTACCATGGTAATTTCTAATAAGATACCATACTTACTACAGTAAAAAAATTTTTTTTACAGCATTAAAAATAGACATATCATTCGTACACACACACACACACACACACACACACACACACACATATATATATATATATATATCTCACAGGGTATCCAACTTATGATAAATAAAACGCATACTGTACGTCCAGAACAAAACTATACAGTAAATCATGCATTTCCGATTCTTACTTAATTCAACAAGCTGCAGCACACATTCAACAACTTAAATTAAGTGAGGTTAAAATACTCAAGACACGTTTTATTCAATATATAAATATGTTTTGAAAATGGTTTATTGTCTAATACATCAATATACACAAATTAGAGAGGTCAACCAATACTGGATTTTGCTCATAATAATGTGTAAAGAAAAAAAATAACCAGATTATTGTGGCGATAATCACAAAATCTATATATTGACAGGGGGCCCAGAGAGAAGCTACCAGAGTTTACACACAGTTTATTGTGTAACCAATAACGGGAC